CTCAGACGCTTCTGAGATTTTTCGGGATCAATCAACATTTTTAAGCAGTATGTTTGTTATATGTAGCGTGTGTATAAGTGTGTGCACCTCATCAAGATAATTTCTAAGTAAAGTGTGTTGTTTGAGTGGTAAGAAGTTACTAACAAATTATTTGTTAGAGTTAAACCTCTCTCCTTGTGGGTGAGAGGGAATGGGAACATATGTTCTGTAAACATTCTTGTGATACCTGTTGAAAATTAGAAGTTTGCAAGGCCAATACCAAAGTTTCTGAAAGAATCTATGACAAAATAGTTTTTTTTATTGGTTAAGCATGTAAGAAAAAGTACAGAACTGAGTGATGTAGAAAAGGGAACCATTCTTAAAACAACAGAGAGTCTGTGTGCCAGGACAGAGAGCACAAATAACTTGAGAGATTTGCAAATGGGGGAGAAGACAAGAAGTAATAAATTGTTAAGATAGTGTTGTAAAAGACTGAGCACTGATTATTATCACAGTCTTTGGGAGTGAAGGAGGTTTAGATAAGAGATAAGTTGTTAGAAGAGCCAGAGGAGGGAGAAAGGGAAAGATTGTTGTGTGAAAGAGTAAAATGAATGAATACTGTGACCATGCATTGAGAGTTGAAAGTGGATTGAGTTTATCCTGTTGACTAGACTGTCCTGTAGAATTTCACCTAAGATAATTGTAACCTGGGGGGGAGGTCTGTCTCTTCTCCCAGACAATCAACAGTAAAACAAAAGGGCATGACCTTAAGCTCTGCCAGGAAAAGTTTCCAAACAGAGTGATCAAACATTTAAATGATTCACCATCCCTAGAAGTGTTCAAAATAAAACTAAATATGCCACTTAAGTACCATAATCTACTACTCATAGTGAGATTGAATCAAAAGTTACACTTGATAATCTTAAAAATCTCTTCCAACCTAATTAATTCTATGATTCTATAAATCTGTGATTTCATTAACTTTTAAGTCCAATAGCGCGTGCGTGGAAGAAGCAATGCCAGAGAATCCAGCG